AACCAGCCAGGTCTGTGGGTGCAGACTTCCTCTTCTCTGGCCTTTGGTTTGGGTCTGCACCAGCCCCCCTAACCTTCTTGACTGTTGACCGACAGCGCTTCCTGAAGAATCCCCAGCCCCCTCCCCAGTCCTGGCTCCACTCTCCTGCTGGAGGGCATTCTGTTATAAATGCAGAGCTGACCCTGTTGCTCCTCGGGTGGGCCCTCTTCATTTTTTTGTGTGTTTACCTATTAAGTGAGAAACCTAACCTTTTCATCTTTCAAAGTACACCACGAGTGCTTTTTGCCGCTGTCCTGGCTTCTGCAGGACGACCCCTCCCCTCCCGTGTCCTCGCTGCACTCTGTGTACAGCTCTTCTTGTTGCAGCCAGAGCCTTGAGCTGCGTTGGATTTCTGCATGTCTGCCTCTTCCACAAGCCTGTGGGCACTGTGAAGGCTGGTGCAGGGCTTGTGCCTGGTTTACTCTAGTCTCAGACTCTCACCAGTTAAGCAGGTCGGCAGGCAAATGAACCTAAGGAAAATTCTTTTTCTTTAGTATGGATTGTCAGTGTATTAGAGTTCTGCAGAGGGACAGAACTAATAGGATGGATGGATGGATAGATAGATAGATAGATAGATAGATAGATAGATAGATAGATAGATAAAGGGGAGCTTATTAAGTATTAACTCACACAATCGCAAGGTCCCACAATAGGCCATCTGCAAGCTGGGGAGTGAGGAGAGCCAGTCTGAGTCCCAAAACTGAAGAACTTGGAGTTCAGTGTTCGAGGGTAGGTACCATCCAGCATGGGAGAAAGATGGAGGCTGCGAGGCTAGGCCCGTCTCGCCTTTTCACGTTCTCTGCCTGCTTTTTCTAGCCGAGCTGGCAGCTGATTAGATTGTACCCACCCAGCTTAAGGGAGGGTCTGCCTTTACCAGCCACTGACTCAATTGTTAATCTCCTTGGGCAACACCCTCCCACACACCCAGGATCAGTACGTTGCATCCTTCAACCCAGTCAAGCTGACACTCAATATTAACCATCACAAGTCCGCCCTTTGTCAACCTGAACCCATACACATCTCCTGAGAATATACATAATCTTCAAATAAAGACAATAATGTCATAATTATACCTAACATAATACAACTGTCCTTCATTATTGAAACAAATCAATCCCCAACCCAAATACTATTACATAAAGTTAACAGTACTTAAATGCTGATATGAAGTCAATAAATCTTATGTCAGCTGGCCGCAGTGACTCATGCCTATAATCTCAATACTTTGGGAGGCTGAGATGGGCAGATTACCTGAGGTCAGGGGTTCGAGACCAGCCTGGCCAACATGATGAAACCCTGTCTCTACTAAAAATACAAAAATTAGCCTGGCATGGTGTTGCACACCTGTAATGCCAGCTACTCAGGAGGCTGAGGCAGGAGAATCACTTGAACCTGGGAGACAGAGGTTGCAGTGAGCTGAGATTGCACCACTGCACTCCAGCCTGGGCGACAGAGCAAGCAAGACTTCATCTTAAATAAATAAATAAATCTTATGTCACATGATAAAAGAAAAAAAATAAAATGAGATTTTCTTAGTATAAGTGTATACATGCACAAACATGTTGTTAACAAAAGAAGGAGGAAATGCTCATGACGATTACAGTCCTTATTTCTACAGTTGATCATGTGGTCGTAGCTGGTATTGATGATGACCTTCTTCTCCCACGCATTCTGTTTTCCCTTTGCCTTCAGCAAGTACCTCAGCAGGTTGTGTTTCCCGCCCCGCCACTCAGTGGAGTGACCCAAACTTTCATTCCTGAAGGGTCTGGGCCACTTGTAGTCCTGCCTGGATTGGGCCGTCATGGTTTCTTATTGACGTTAATCACAGGGCATGTGATGAAGTTGACACCCAGTGTTAACTGTCACAATTAGTGTTCATTCGAATCCTGTGAGAACTGTCTTAAGTACCCTGTAGCATCATTGTCCACGTCCTGCTGCCCAGGGACCTGTCCTGCTCCACACATTGAGGCAGATGTTTGAGGCCCCCCCCAGCTCTCTCCTCAGTGAATAGTTCACATCATCCTCCCAGCCTCGAACCCCAAACTGAGAAGTTCCTCAGTCCCCCTCTCATCTTCCACACACAGTCCGCCTGCGAGTCCTGTTCCGCCTCCCAGCCACTTCACATCCTCACACTTCTCTTCCTCCATCATTCCCACTGTTCAAACCACTGTCCCTGCTCCTGAATAGCTGCCATGGTCTTTTCATTTTCCTTCCTGCTTCTGCCACCCTTCTCCAGCCTTCTCTCCATGCAGCAGACAGAATGACCTCACCAGCAGTCTCTTGTTTAGTCCCCACAACTACCCTGTGAGCTAGGTGCTGTTGTCATGCCTATTTTGCAGAATAGGGAACTAAAGCACAAAAAGATCAAGCATGTTAAGTGTGGACCTGAACTCTGAACCACAGCAGTCTGGCTCTAGGGTCCACACTCCTGACCATGGTGTTGCTTTGCTATTTGCATTTGAGACAGATTCAGACCCCCTGCCATGCCTCTATGGCCCTGTAATTTTGGCCCTATCTGCCTTTGACCTCATCTGCCTCTGCTCTCCCCTTACCAACTATGTGGCTTTTCTGTGCTCCTGCCTCAGGGGTTCTCAACCAGGGACGATGCTGCCATTTGGAAATAGGGTGGGAGTGCCGCTAGTTACTATGCCAGGGGCAAGGCGAGCTTTGGTAATGACTGTGACTGGGGAAGAGCTACCACTGCATCTAGTGTCCTGGGGTCCAGAGTTGCTGACCATGTGGTGTAGGGGCACAGTCCCACACAGCAATGTTGGCACCTCTGTATGGCTGTCTTCTCAGCTGATCAGGTCTCTTCTCAAAAGAACCACCTTCCCAACCACGCCTGTCTGCAGTGCACCTTCCCCATCTGTGCTGTATCACTACAACCCAGAGCGTGTTGGTTTGCTCACTCCTCTCCCCGGTGGGCACAGCCTGGCCCTTCCACTGCTGGAGTGCCTGTGCCCAGTTCCTGGTGTGTAGCAGGTGCTCAGAGACTTCGGAAAATGAAAGAGTTTTTTCTCCTACCCTAACATAACTAACATTTTGTCCAAGTGGCTGAACATGTAGAATTAGGATTTTGGATCCTTAATGGATCAGAGAGGAAAGGCCGTTTTGCTCTCAAACAGTGGAACGCTGCATTTCTGTAACTCTACAGGAAAACACCAATAATTTATTTCTTCTCTGCATATAAATAAAGAATATCTAAGCCTTTTCAAAAAACAAAAGATCTTTTTGATCTGTTCAAAATTGTTTTAATCGTAGGTGTCTTCTGTTTATGAAGCAAGATGTACAGGAGAGAGCAACTCTGGAGCAAAGTCAGACGGCTTCCGCAGAAAGATGTGCTCCAGCGCCAGCGCCGCCTCAGAAGAGACAGGCTCAGAAGGCGGAGGCGAGTGGGTGGGCCCTAGCGAAGAGGAGCTCTTTTCTCGAACTCATCTCTAAACCTGCAAAGTAGTACAAATTACTGTTTAAAAATGATATGTGATGGAAAATTACTCTTCTGTGAGACCTTTTAATCTAAAACAACTTAGGTTTCCTCTTCAATTAACTGATTCAGATCGGTAATCATTATCTTTCTCTTCTTGCTTATTTTAGAGTTGAGGACAGCTATCCTGTTAAAGATTTTTTTTTCCCAGCTGTTAAATTCTTGGCTATTTGAAATAGACTAGATTGTGTTGTCAAATCAAGAATGGGTGTGCATGTGCTTGTCTTAGAAGTATCACTGCTTTTTGCATCTTAACTGCAGTTAATTTCCTTCCTACTGCAGTTACATCACTATGACCTTATTAGCATTGCAGTGTCAACAACCACTTCTGCTCTTCAGAGACTTCAGCTTTGGAGCATTTAGGCTTTGTTCTCTAAGAACTGGGATATCCATTCTTACCCTGCAGTGGCTCAGTGCCTTTCTGAAGGCGAGAGGGAAGCATGGGTGACTCAGCTGTGGTCTCCATTCAGTCAAATCTCATGTACATTTGAAGTAGGAACCACAAGGGTGTGCTTTTAGAGACTTACAAAATACTGTGTTTTCTATCTTAGGATTTTTTTTCCCTAAAGTATCATGGAAGATACTATGGCTTGTGACTTTCTTGCTAACTGAAGAAGCCAAGGATTTGGGGTGTGGGATCGTATGTGAGGCACAGTGGGGTAAGGGTGTACACTCTTACCTGTATGACTGTTCTCATACTGCAGTTTCATTTCCACCAAAGTCCCATGCAGGCTTCTTTGTGGTGAGTGTTACATATGCGGTAAGGACTTTAGTTGCATATTGTTATTTTCTGGTGACCTGTGTTGAATTGAAGCCCCCAAAACTTGAAATTGTGAATATTTGACATGCAATAAAGGCCACCTCGTCACCCAGAGAAATCGTGGGCTGCTGCAGCTAGCTGCTCCTTGGCTGTGATGTAGTATAGCTTCTATCTCATTTTGTGTTTGAGAGAATGTTCTGGGCAAGTTCTGTGTGTGGTGGGTTGGGGTGGGTAGAGTCATGAGTTTTCCACATCCCTGTGTGGTTGATGTGCTGATTGTCCTCCATGGGACTGGCTTCCAGCTCTCCTCGGTGAGCCGGGGAGCCGGGGAGCCGGTGCATCTTGAGTCGTGTCTGGGCACGATGATCCGCTCCTCTAGCTCTCATGGCATTGTGCAGCAGGCTGAAGCCAGGAGGAGCAATATTTGAAAAACCTAAACAGTTTAAATTGTTTTTCTTTTTTAACCAACTCATTATTTGAAAAACAAAAGCAAAACACCACCACCACCACCAACAACAACAACACCTAATCTGTGAAATCAATGTATTAAGTCTGGAACATGAGGAATGGCAGGAAAGTCTGATACGGTCTGGACAGCTTCACCAGTGATTTTGGCAGACAATAAACACACATATGTTTTATTAGCTGGGAGCTGAACTGGCTGTGGAATCTATGATTTGCTTTGAACATTTGGGTTTTGTTGCCTTTTTCTTAATCAATAACACAGAACGTATCATCAAAGACTGTGGAGTGGCTGAGGTTCTGTGGGTCCTCACTGAGAGAGACCTGGGGTGCCCGCCAGGTTGATCTTACCACATTAGGGTTTATTTTTATACAAAGCTTTTGACACTTTAAGGTGGGATTGTGTGTGTGTGTGTGTGTGTGTGTGTGTGCATGTGTAAGGTTTTATGTTGCTGTTATTTATTTACGAACTTCAGATACGTTTTTATGTATTTTTCATTCTTCTGGAGCTTCCTAAAAATTGATAAGCATCAGCACTGAAATTTAACAGCAAAGGTAAAAAAGGATTGAAAGTTGCAAATTCCTCACATCACTACAGTGAGGATTATTCTAGAAATCGTTGCTTATGTAGCAAAGACCAAAAAATAGATTTCAGACACCACCTTGAGCACAGTTGATTTTGGACAGCTGCTGTTGATTAGGAAAGGGCTCCAGGTGGCACAGGTGCAGACCTCCTCAGACACGGGTGAGGAGACACAGCACCTTCCACAGGGGAATGGGATGGATTCGAAGTGAGCAAAGGGATTCACAAATTGTGTATTTATTTGTTTTCATAGTTAAGTAGCTGAAGCTCAGAAGCTTTCAGCAACAAAGATGAAAGTGTGGTTTTTTTTTTTTAGTTTTGTGAATGGATGATCACAAAGAAAAAGCATCTTTAAAAAGTTGGCAAACGCTGAAACGCACTGTGGTATGAAGCGCGTTGCATATCCATAGCACTGAAGCATCAGCTTCCATTCCTGGGCTGAGATTTTTTCCCCGTGGTTGTATTGTTCTGATTTCACGTACACCAGAGTAACTGATTTTTTTTTTTTGTTTTCTTGTGGAGTTAACACCGAATAAAAATTTTAAAAAAGAGTTTGTTGTTTTTATTTCTCATAGCAAAGATTCCTTTGTAAAGAACTCGGGCTTCCTTTTTCTCATGCGCATCAGTGGAGGAGCAAGTGCCCGGGTTACTACGTTTCATTTGTTCCACATGGAGGTCCGTTAGCTCCCCCTGCAGGCACTGCTGAAAACGTGCAGCTACGGTAATGAAAAAAGTGGGTGGGGCCTCCCCATCTCCCCAGCACACATGGCGCCACCACCTGAGTCTGCAGAACACATAGCATTTTTGTCCATAGATGGTGGACAAAGCTCAATCGTTTTGTTTCCTTCTGGGGAAAAAATTAAATCTTTATATATGTTAATATGATTGATATTCATTGTGGGGGAAAAAAATCTGTGTGTTTTTAAAGAAGTATAAGGGAAAAGGAAAACTCCTGTACTTATGTCACTGAGACATTGACTGCTAACATTTGTGCACAGCCCTTTCCAGGCATCTGAATGTACGGCATATATGAATGCATACATAGAGAAGTTGACATTAGAGTGCACTCTACTTGTTCTTCTGTAACATCAGAAATAGGTTTCTACTCAGGTGTCTTTTCATAGCAGTAACTATAGAACTACATAATTATTTTTACAGCTGTATTATGTAGATTTAACAGGTTCCTCATTGATAAAACAATTATTTTTGGTTGTTTATTCAGCATCTGAATAACGTTTCTGTGGACATCTGTAAACATATATGAGGGGACCTTTAAAAGTTCATGGAAAATGGAATTAAAAATCAAAAAATATAAACTTTGTTTCTCAACATAAGTTCCATCAAGTTCAAGATACTTCAGTAAGCCATAATACCATACTACCAACCATTTAGTCTATCCTCAAAGAACCGAGGGTCCTGGAAATGCATCCATGTCCATGTAGTCTCCACATTGTTAATGAGGAAAAATGGGTGCCCTCGGCAGATTTTTAAGATTAGGAAACAAAAAGTCAGCAGGAACCAAATCAGGACTGTAAGGTGGATGCCTCGTGACTTGCCATCGAAACTCCTGGAAAGTTGCCCTCTGATGGAGCAGGAGCGCTGCCATGATGGAAAAGGACTCTGGGAAACTTCCCCAGGCATTGCGCTGCTAGCTTTGGCTGACTTTCACAAAGCACTTAGAATAAGCAGGTGTTACCATTCTTTGGTCACCTAGAAAGTCAACACACACACGGTGCCTTGAGCATCCCAGAAAACTGCTGTCCGACCTCTGCTTTGGACCCGTCTGCATTGCTGTGACAGCACCCCTCCCACCTCTCAGGAGCCAGTGCTGTGAGTGTGCTTTGTCTCAGGATTGTGCTGGTAAAGCCGTGTTCCATCTCCTGTTACAGTTCTCAGAGGAAATGCTTTAGGATCTTTACTTCTCTTGTTTAAAATTTCCCTTGAAAGCTCCGCTCCTGTCTCCAGCTGACCTGGGTGCAATGGTTTGGCAGCCATTGAGTGACACGTTTGCTCATTGTTCATTTTTCAGTCAGATAATGTAAGCGGAATCACCTGAGGTGTCTATGGTGTTGGCTGTTTCTGCTGTTAATCATTGGTCCTCTTTGATTCAGGTATGAATCAGATTAATTTTTACCTCCCAGATTGATGGGGAGGTCTCATCTTCACCATTGTCTCGTCCTTCTTAACACAAGTTACCCATTGGCAAACCTCTGATTTTGGTCGGGGGTGGGGGCATTGTCCCCATAGGTTTTTTGGTAAGAAATTGATTTTCACCATTCTTCCACCCCAGTGTCACCGTAACTTTGATGTCTGTTCTTGCTTCCATTTTTAGCAGAATTCATGTCGCTCTGATAGGTGCTCTTTTTAAACACTGTCATGCCCTTAACTGCCTCAGACTAGATCTTGTCCAGACATGTTATAACAAGTTAGTACAAGTTTATTTTCGTGCAAGAAAATTTTGAAACCTGAGCATGGCGCTTTTTTGGAGACAGTCTCCCTCTGTCCCCCAGGCTGGAGTGCAGTGGCATGATCCCTGTGATCTCAAACTTCCCTAAGAGCTGAGACTAGAAGCACAGGCCACCATGCCCAGTTGATTTTTAAACCTTGTGTAGGATCAGAGTCTGCCTGTGTTGCCCATCTGTTCTCAAATACTTGGCCTCAATCCATCCTTCTCACCTCAGCTTCCCAGAGCACTGGGATTATAGGACTGAGCCATTGCAGCTGGCAATAGCACAGGCCATAGTTGGCCCACCACCCAATAATACCTTTTGTTTTTGAGATGGAATTTCACTCTCGTTGCCCAGACCGGAGTGCAGTGGCATGATCTCAGCTTATCCTAACCTCTGCCTCTTAGGTTCAAGTGATTCTCCTGCCTCAGCCTCCAGAGTAGCTGGGATTACAGGCATGTGCCACCACGCCTGGCTAAATTTTGTATTTTTAGTAGAGATGGGGTTTCTCCATGTTGGTCAGGCTGGTCTTGGAACTCCCAACCTCAGGTGATCCACCCACCTTGGCCTCCCAAAGTGCTGGGATTACACCACCGCACCCAGCTCCCAATACCATTTTTAAAGCCCTTACCCACTAATTTGAAGGAGTGCGGTGGTGTGATCTTGACTCACTGCAGCCTCCATCTCCTGGAACTCAAGCTATCCTCCCATCTCAGAAGAGGAAATCTGACATCACAAACTCCACGGGGTGTGATGAACAACCCTGGGTGTTTTTAGAACAACCCTGGGGTGGAGTGTAAAGGCCTCTCTGCCTGTTTCACTTAAAGTGCTCTGGCCTTTGCCCATGTGACTGCTGCTGCTGCCACTGCCACTACAGAGACCACCCTGGCAGGTTTGGTACACATGCCATGAGTGGCTATGGCAGTGCCCAGGAGGCCTGCATCTACCAGCAGTCCAGGAATGGAAAGGAAGCTCCTGCCCCTGGTTCCTCTGAAAAGCAGCCAGTCAGATGGCGTCACAAGCTGAGCACTGTTGTGAACACAGATTGGGAAATGAGCTGCTGTTTCAGAGCCCGCTGCTAGCCTCACGTCACTGTGTGTTTAATTTCATTTTCAGGCACAGTTGCCTTAACTGTCAAGCTGGTACTGACGCTGCCCCCTAACGTTTGGTTGGTGTTGGCATTGTCTGTGCTAATCATCCTAAGGGCTGATACTGAGGGCCCACTGGCTGCCATGCATTCTAAGCACTCTGAGCGTTAACTAGCCACCCTGTGAGAAGCTATAGCTGCCCCATTTTATAGATGAAGAAACTGAGGCACAGTGGGGCATTAGGTACTTGCAGTCTCATACCTGGTGGGTGCTGGAGCCTAGATTCACCTTGGGCACTGACTACATAGTCCATTTAACACTGAAACCTCCATCTCACACAATCGCACTAATTGTAAATTATGTACTGTTGCTGGGCGCGGTGGCTTATGTCTGTAATTCCAGCACTTTGAGAGGCCAAGGTGGGTGGATCACCTGAGGTCAGGAGTTTGAGACCAACCTGGCCAACATGGTGAAACCCCCGTCTCTACTAAAAATACAAAAACTAGCCAGACATAATTAATGGCAGTTGCCTATAACCCCAGCTACTCGGGAGGCTGAGGCAGGAGAATCGCTTGAACCTGGGAGGTAGAGGTTTCAGTGAGCCAAGATTGTGCCATTGCACTCCAGCCTGGGCAACAAGAATGAAACTCTGTCTCAAAAAAAGAAAAAAATTTACCCAGGCACAATGGTGGGCACCTATAATCCCAGCTACTTGGGAGGCTGAGGCAGGAGAATCGCTTGAACCCAGGAGGCAGAGGTTGTAGTGATCTGAGGTTGTGCCACTGCACTCCAGCCTGGGCAACAGAGCAAGACTCCATCTCAAAACCCAGTTATGTATTGTCTGGGTACTTGAGGGAGTCCTGCTCTGTCAGCCCTGGCTACGTACCCTTGGGTGAGTTACTCAGTCGGGCACTTCGGTATCTTTAGATGTAAATGGAGATCATAATTGGACCATTATCCTAAGAGCTGGTTGTAAACATGAAAGAGTCCATCTGCATACATGCTAGAGTGCAAACCAAACGTACCTGAGACAGATCTCCGTCAACTTAGAATTGTGTTTTGCTGAGGTTGAGGGCACACCCGAGAGGTCTGTGCCTTTCTCCAAAGATGATTTTGAGGGCTTCAGTCTTTAAAGGGGAAAAGTGGGCTGGAGGAGAGAGATGGGGAGGGTATGGTCACATGATTGAATGTTGGGAGAGAAAAGGCACAGGTAGGGGAGTAGTCAGTTAGATACTTGTACTCAGCAAATCCTCACTTTACATAAGATACAGTGAGCATAGAGTAGCTACCTGTGGAGAGAGCTGCCTTTTTTTTTTTTTTTTGACAGGGTCTGACACTTACCCAGGATGGAGTGCAGTGGTGTGATCTTGATCTTGGCTCACTGCAGGCCTCAGCTTCCCAAGTAGCTCGGACCACAGGTGTGCGCCATCACACCTGGCTAATTTTTGTATTTTCTTTGTAGAGACAGGGTTTCACCATGTTGCCCAGGCTGGTCTTGAACTTCTGGGCTCAAGTGATGCTTCCGCTTAGGCCTCTCAAAGTGCTGGGATTACCGGCGTGAGCCACCGTGCCTGGCCTGTCTGGCCCTTTCTCTGTAGCTGTCTGCTGAGGAACATAAGGAAACACAGCTTCTTGCCTGACTCCATTCTCAGCTTTTTCCTTTTAGCACAGTGGATTACGGTCCCAAGTTTTTATTTTCCTTTCACACTGGACACACAAAAAAGCAAAAACGGAAATGCAAAGAAGCTGCAGCACCAAGTCCAGAACGAAGGGGAAAAGCACATCTTTGCAGGCTGCCCCCTCACTTCCTGCCCTTCCCTTGTGCTAGCAAAGCGCTTAACAGGCCTCGTTGGGTCTGCAGCTCCAGGCCTTCGAGGTCAGTGGAGCCGTCCACCTGGTCAGGCCCCACAGAGGCCGTTCATCTGAGTGACCACAATGCTGTCACCATCATCTCAACCTGAAGGGAGATCACAGTATCTCTTCGAGACAGGAAACCAACTACTTTGGTTGTCCCTGGTTCCCAGGGGCCAAGGCAGCAGCAGAGCCAAGTACACGCACTGGGGCCGAGTACAGGCTGTACAGGAAGCACTGAGGCTGGCATCTGCTTGGCTTTTGGGAAGGCCTCAGGAAGCTTCCAATCATGGCAGAAGGGGAAGGGGAAGCAGACGTGGCCGGAGCAGGAGGATGGGGGACAGGGGATGTGCCACACACTTTTAAACATCCAGAGGTCACTAGAACTCACTATTGCAAGGACAGCACCAAGCCCTGAGGGACCCGCCTCCATGATCCAAACACTTCCCATTAGGCCCCACCTCCAAGATTGGGGATTACAGTTCAGCAAGAGATTTGGGCAGGAACAAATATCCAAACTGTACCATAGTCCAGAGGTTGTGTTACTAAGGTTTGCTTTCAGTTTGCTGAGTAGGCAGCAAGGAATTACATGGCTCAGTTTGAAAGTATTTAGAAGAATGGGGTAGTCACCATAGCAACTCCCCAGGGTTAGGCCATAAGCTGTTGCAAACAGAGTTTGGAAACTTTCCTTTCTTTAACAACGTATATCAAAGACCTACTATGCACTAGGCCCTAAACCTGATGCTGGTGGTACATTTTCTTTTTCTGAATCAGCCTCTTTCCCTGCTCTGGTTCTCTAGCAGTGAGGACATCACAGGTTCCTCTTGAACCTCTCCTAGATAAACTTCTGAGGGCCTCTCCAGCCTGCTGCTGGACCCCCTTTCTGAACTTTTCAGGAGTTTGAAGGATCTGGGTTGAAGTCCCACTCTCTTCATGAGCAGAGGTGTCATTATCGTGCCCCCAAATTCCCCAGCCTGGCGGCCCACAGGAACCTCATTAAGTCAGCGGGCTGGTTGTGCAGAGCGAAGCATGCTGGTCCCAGCTTCGTCGTGACCAGCAGCATTGGACAGGGTGGCCAAGGAGGGAGGCACAGTCAGAGTTTATACACTCAGGGGGTGCAGCCCTTCCTGCGAATAAGTTATGTGTTTCATCTGGAGGAGACGCAGCAGGGTCTCTCCACCCCCTGACTCTGCAGATTGGCCGCTGGCAGTGTGGTTTCCTTCTGGGCAGTGTCCAGCTCTTCAGCAAGTGGCTGCGGATCAAAGAAAGCAGCGGAAACCTCTGCGGGACACAGCCTCCCTGGGACTTCGAGGCTGAACACAGTATGGCAGGGGAGCCCTGGCCGACACAGAAATGCACCCCCTCCCCTTTTCCAGGGTCAAGTCCACTCCCAGCCCTGTGGGAGGAGGGAGCAGGAAGAACCCAGGGTGTGGGGCCAGAGTGACTGGCTCTAATTAACCCTGGTTCCCCTGTGTGGCCTTTGGCAGGTCTTTTACCCTCTCTAAGCCAGTTTTCTCCTCTGAAATTGGAGTTTTACCACCAGGAGTGAGTTCTCCACAGGTGCCAGTTTCTCCCTCAGTGCCCCCTAAAATCAGCTGCTCAAGCCATAGCAAAAATACCTGGTGGTTTATCAGAATACGGACCTCAGTGTCACAGCTGGTTCTGGGGGGGGGGTATGATGATGTGGGAAGAGAGGAGAATAGAGGGATGGCAGGGGCACCTTGAATGCTTCCTGGGGGAATCTGGTTTCACCCTGGAGGCAGCAGTGGCACCATTTGTATCCTGGACAAGTAGTTAGGGATTTTAGAATCTGCTGGTGCCCTCTGGGCGCCGTGGCTCACACTTGTCCTCCCAGTACTTTGGGAGGCTGAGGCAGGAGGAGCAGTTGAGCCCACAAGTTGGAGAGCAGCCTGGGTAATACGTCGAAGCCCCATCTCTACAAAAAATACAAAACCTTAGCTAGGCATGGTGGCACGTCCCTGTAGTCTCAGCTCCTTGGGAGGCTGAGGCGGGAGGATCATCTGAGCCTAGAAAGTCAAGGCTGCAGTGAGCCATGAGACCCTGCACTACAGCTTGAGGGAGAGAGTGAGACCCTGTCTCTAAATAAATTTTTAAAAATTTAAAAATGATTAAAAAAAAAAAAATACTGCCTGTTGAATAGGTCTGGGGAAAAAAATCCACTGATACACAGCAGAGAATCTGCTAGAACTTCCGTAGCTTTTAAAAGATCACCATGGTGTTTTCTCCATCTCACAGTTGGATGAGCTCCGTGTGTGAATGTGAACCCAGCACTGGGCTAGTGACCGGGCCTGGGCTTGGCCTGGTGCAGGGAGGGGTGAGCTGGGGTCCCTTGCAGGCCACTGCCCTCCTCTGACCTGAGTCTCCTGGTCTGGAGGAAATGGAGATCACCCGCCCCACCTCCAACGTGGCAGTGAGTTTGGTTATTCATTGATGGAAGGGAAGGCCCTTTGTAACTGTACACGAGGAATTAGCAAAGTCATCATTGCAGTCCGTTGAAAAAAATAACAGGTCTCACCATTGTGCAACCCTAATATAGACCAAGCACAGCGTGGGCCCCTTGGGACCAGGTTTAACACACGGTACAGAGACACTGCTAGAGAAACACTGGGCTCGTAGAAGATACTGAGGAATTGTCAGGATTATTAGATGTGCTGACAGTATCATGCTTCCAAAAAAGTCTTACTATTTTTTTTTTTTTGAGACAGAGTTTCACTCTTGTTGCCCAGTCTGGAGTGCAGTGGGGTGATCTCGGCTCACCGCAACCTCCACCTCCTGGGTTCAAGCAGTTCTCCTGCCTCAGCCTCCTGAGTAGCTGAGATTATAGGCATGTGCCACCACGCCCAGCTAAATTTTTGTACTTTTAGTAGAGACGGGGTTTCACCATGTTGGTCAGGCTGGTCTCGAACTCCCGACCTCACTTGATCCGCCCGCCTCGGCCTCCCAAAGTGCTGGGATTACAGGCGTGAGCCACCGTGCCTGTCCTAACAGTCTTACTTCTAGAGGCATGTATAGAAAAGCTGAAGTATCTTCATATGAACTGACTATCTGAGCTATACTCAGGAAATCCGGGAAAATGTACGACAGGAAGAATATGGGGAGGAGGGAGGAAGAGCAGAATACTGCTCACTGTTGAGGTAGGCCTCAGGGGTTCATTATGCTGCTCTCTCTACTGCATATATATTTGACAGTTTCCATAATAAAAGTTTCTATTAAAAGAGTTTTAGGCTGGGTGCGGTGGCTCACGCCTGTAATCCCAGCACTTTGGGAGGCCGGGTGGGTGGATCAGGTGGTCAAGAGATTGAGACCATCCTGACCAACATGGTGAAACCCCATCTCTACTTAAATTAGAAAAATTAGCCAGACGTGACAGACGCCTATAATCCCAGCTACTCAGGAGGCTGAGGCAGGAGAAGCACTTGAACCCAGGAGGCATAGGTTGCAGTGAGCCGAGATCGTGCCACTGCACTCCAGCCTGGTGATAGAGCAAGACTCTGTCTCCAAAAAAAAAAAGAACATTTTTTAAATGGCTTTCGAAGTCTAAGGGTGGAGGATCTCTTGAGGCTAGGAGTTTAAGACCAGCCTGGGCAACATATAGATAGAGACTCCAATCTCTACAAGAAAAGGAAAAGAAAAAATTAGTTGGGCATGGTGGCTCAGAGGCTGAGGTGGGAAGATCGCCTGAGCCCAGGAGTTCAAGGCTTCAGTGAGCTGTGATTGCAACACTGCGCTCCAGTCGGGTGACAGAGCAAGACCTTGTCTTTAAAAAAAAAAAAAAAAAAGAAAGAAAGAAAGAAAGGGAGGGAGGGAGGGAAGGAAAAGAAAGAAAGAAGGCCGAGTGTGGTGGCTCACGCCTGTAATCCCAGCACTTTGGGAGGTCGATGCAGGTGGATTATAAGGTCAAGAGATCAAGAGCATCTTGGCCAACATGGTGAAATCTTGTCTCTACTAAAAATACAAAAATTAGCCAGGTGTCGTGGTGGGTGCCTGTAATCCCAGCTGCTCAGGACGCTGAGGCAGGAGAATCGCTTGAGCCTGGGAGGTGGAGGTTGCAGTGAGCCAAGATCACGCCACTGCACTCCAGCCTGGGTGACAGAGCAAGACTCCATCTCAAAAAAAAAAAAAAAAAAAAAAAGGAAGAAAGAAAAGAACAGAAAAAAGAATTTGAAAATGTTAGAGATGGGAATAGCTTTCAGCCAGCAATGGCGCATACTTCTGAAGACCCCAAGTAGAATCAAAAGGAAAGGTTGCAGCACATGCTGGGATCCATTCTCACCCCTCACAGCCTGGTGGCCATCTAGGGGAGGGAGGACGAGACAGAGACGTTGCTGGTGCCCACTGCCTGGGAAGCCCCGGTGAGTTCTCCAGGATCCCACAGCAATCCCCAGGCTGCCGGGCACGCAGGGCAACCCCTCTCCCAGAGGCAGAGGGACAGGGAAGGGTTCTCCATCAGTGCTTTCCAAAAACAGACCACCTGTTTTGGGGGAGTGTAAACTCCGTGTCCATGATGCTCCCAGGGTTGCTGAAAACCTTGCTGAACTTACTAGCTGGGCAGGTGTGGTAGAGGTGCTCTCCCCTCCTTTCAGAGCTTGGGCCTCCCACCAGCCCCGAGCTCCTGTGGAGAAGGAGCTGAGAGCTCCACAGATCTGCCCAGGCCTCCTCTTGCCACCACAGCCTGGGCAATAGAGCAAGACTCCATAAAAAAAAAAAAAAGAAAGAAAAGGCCAGGCACCATGGCTCATAACTATAATCTCAGCACTTTGGGAAGTCAAGACTGGCGGATAACCTGAGGTCAGGAGTTTGAGACCAGCCTGGCCAACATGGTGAAACTCCAGCTCTACTAAAAATACAAAAAAATTAGCTGAGCATGATGGCAGGTGCCTGTAAT